TTTGAGAAGTGTTTTTTTGCCAAGAATTCAAGTTTGCCCGCTTCAAATCAAAGTTCATTATATAGTCCCATGAGAGTAGCAGAAAATGATTCAGAATTTCTTGTCTATGACTATTTGCGATTGTTGAGTTTGTTTTCTTCGACCCAAATAGCATGGTCCTTCTGATATTGGGTACATATTCATGACCTTTAAGTGACATTTTTAACCCCAACATTTTCCAGGAAGTAGCCAAGCAAGCCTGAACACCTCTTCGGGACCATGGAAGTCGAAGCTCACTAACATCAAGAACTCATTCCTTGGCACTCCACGATTTCACCGAAGAAAAATGTCAAATGGAACGGCTGAAAGTGATGGTGAAGACAGTCATATGATTGATACTAGCGAGTAAGTGACTCATTGTCGGTGATTTCGTAGTTTTTACCTTTTGAAAGAAACTTTTCATGTTTTTGGAATAATCCTCAAGGATAATGGTATTGAAGGTAAGGCTAAGAGGGAATTAACTCTATGCCTATATGGAGAAATCAGAAGTTCGCGATGCGCTGAAGGCTTTTCATAGCAAAATTCTTCGAGATTAGTGACGCTAAATTCCCTGGACTCACGTTTACGACAACTTATTTATTAATTTACTTTATTGCATGCATTCATTGATGCTCCAAGGAACGTGGATATTACAAAAATAAAGAAAACATCAAATAACGAAAATCAATAGAATCATATGCATATCCAGAGGCCTTATTGAGGCTATCAATCTTAGGGACAACTCTGAGCCAAGTACGACACCTTTTCAAGATCTACATGACATTTATAAAATAAGCAGATAAACTACCGCTCTTTGAAAGTCACGGTGTGAAAGACTTGAATTTAAGATTATGCTTTTGAAATTATGCTTTTTCAGTTTGGTAAAGAAATCGTGGTTTGGTTCATTGACGTCGAGCATCAGCGTTGAAAGAGAAGACACTCACTGTGTGCCGGTGCAAGGCAAAACTTTGAACGCCATAAAAGCCGAGCTCATTCGTGCATTCCTCACGGTAATCGAAAAATTTTAGACTTGAATTATCTGAATTACCCCAGAAATGATCGTATTTTAGATCCATGAGCTAAGTCACTGTGTTGTCGGTCAGAACTGCTTCCGAGTCGAATACAAGCGCGGACCCACTGTAGGCGGTGGAGTGTTTAGCAGAGGAGT